TGTAAAAAATCAATAAAATATATATTTTTTAAAAAATGCAAACAGAGGTAATCCCTGTGCCATTCTTTCAAGTAGAATCAAAAGGCCAATGTGGGATTTCATAAAAGATGATCAACTGAGTGCCAGATGAACATGAAAATGAATGAAGATTGGATCCAAACACTGTCCCTACAGGAAACAAAATGTTGCCAACTCACTAGGGAGGACAGAATAGTGATTAAAACTTCTATTCAAAATGTTTTCATTTACTTAGAAATATCTACAGTTAGCACAACATAGTGTAATTTTAAAAATGCAAAAATTGCAGTCAGATCTGAGGTTGAATCGCAGTTCTCACATAACTCTAAAGTTACGGGCTTTTAATAAGTCAGCCTCTCTAACGTGATTTTCCTCATCATGAAAAGAGGATAACAGGTTTCTTTTTACTTAGCAGAAAGGGTTGTTACAAGAGCCAAAGAGGATTTTATAGATGAAAATACACTTTAAAAACAATCAATAAAATTATTCCTAAATATTAAAGTAAATGTTTAACAATGTTAAAAACTTTTTAATCATTTAACAGGTGTAGGATTCTACCTGAAAACCACAGTTTACAAGAAAATAACCTACAGACTTTAGTCTAAAGTTCAGGATGGTCCTCAAAATGACAGGGTCGCTAAAGAACAAATGTCATTTTTGACCAAATAAACAATCAGTCCCACAAGAAATAACAGACTTACGGTGTTCTACATTAAACAGCCTCGGTCTGAAGTATTATGTTCAGCTTCAAGAGCTCTATTCTGAAAGAAACTGAAAGACTAGAAATGTGTCTACAAGGGACAGTAACAGGAATAATAAAGGTCTCCTCAAATGAATAGTTAAAATAATTGGGATACTGACCTGGAACAAAGGAGAAGGGTGATAGTGACCTTTTAAGGTTAGACTTCCTCTGTGTGTAGAGGACAAATAAGAGCAATGATGGAAGTTATAAAGACAAAGATGTTAGCTTGTAAGGAAGAACTGTGTGATAAGCGTATCCAGTGAAGAGAATGGACCACTTCCTAAAACAAAATGCCCACTTTCCGTATGTTCAAAAGTAAAAGCTAAATGAACATCAGGTACGGATGCTACTTTAGATCTAATAGAGAACTTATGAAGTCCCTTTCAAAAATTTAAGATTCAGAAGACTATCAGAAATTGTAGGTGACTGAAGCAGATGGTGATAAAGGAAGCACCCCATCCTACTGTTATAAGAAATAAGGTTATAGACAATGACAAAAAATGGAAACACCAGCTCTTACTATCACTAGCACAGCTATCCTATATAATAATCCTATATAATAAAAGGCTAATAATGCCGAAACCGGTTTGGCTCAGTGGATAGAGCGTCGGCCTTCGGACTGAAAGGTCCCAGGTTCGATTCCGGTTGAGGGCCTGTACCTGGGTTGCGGGCACATCCGTAGGAGATGTGCAGGAGGCAGCTGATCGATGTTTCTCTCTCATCGATGTTTCTAACTCTCTATCTCTCTCCCTTCCTCTCTGTAAAAAATCAATAAAATATTTTTTTTTAAATAAATAAATAAATAAATAAAAATAAAAGGCTAATATACAAATTGTCCCCTCGACTAGGAGTTCAACCAGGGGGTGGGGACAGCCAACCACCTGCAGCCCCTCCCCCCAGGTGGCCCTGCCCCCAATCAGTCCTCCCTACCCCAATCAGAGGCAGGGTTGGCCCGCCAACTGCCCGCGGCTCCTCGCCCCAGCCAGCCTGGCCCAATCAGCCCCAATCGGGGCGGGCCGGTCAAACCCCACCCATGCATGAATTCATGCACTGGGCCTCTAGGCTATAAACTTTTTAAACAGGGGGCCAGTTCACTGTCCCTCAGACCGTTGGAGGGCCGGACTATAGTTTAACAAAAAACTATGAACAAATTCCTATGCACACTGCACATATCTTATTTTGAAGTAAAAAAACAAAACGGGAACAAATACAACATTTGTATGTGAATGTGGCCTGCGGGCCGTAGTTTGAGGACCCCTGCTATATAATAAAAGCCTAAGTGACAGTTACAGCAGAACAACCAGTTGCTATGATGTGCAGTGACCACCAGGGGGCAGATGCTCAATGCAGGAGCCGCCCCCTGGTGGTCAGTGTGCTCCCACAGGGCTCACAGCTGGCAAGTGCAGAGTAGTGGCGGGAGCCTCTCCTGCCTCTGCAGCAGCGCTAAGGAGCAGCGAGCCGAGTGGTAAGGAGTGGTGAGCAGGCAGGCGGTAAGGAGCGAGGAGTCCCGGACTGTGAGAGGGCACAGGCTGGGCTGAGGGACACCCCCAGTTCATGAATTTGGTGTACCGGGCCTCTAGTATATGAATAAACCACAGTGCTGTCACTGTTAGTCTTTGCCAATTTGTTTTGGACCTCACTTCCTCTGCTATGATTTTCTAATTACTCTCTGCCAAATACACTTCAATATATGAGCCCTGTAAACCCTTGGAAAGGCTGTCAAGAAAACTTTTCTTTTTAATCAAGTTCTTCAACTAAACAAGTCATTACATTTCCTGACACCCAACACCATTGCAAAACAAAAAGAGAAACTATGACTTATTTTTATTACAGTTTTCTTTTTTTAATTAGGACAATTTTAGTTTTAGTTTCAAGTTTATGGGAAAAATTGAGGGAAAAGTACAGAGAGTTCCCCAAAACCTCTCTCTCCCTTCCCCTCATTTCCAGTATTTTTAACATCTTGTAATTGATAAGCCAATATAGGTATATTATTAGCTAAATACCATATTTTACATTAGGGCTCACTCTGTTGTACATTCTATGGCTTGGAGGAGCTTAAAAACAAATTTGAAAATTGTGGTTAAACATACATAACATGAAATGTATCATCTTAAACATTTTTAAGTGTGCAATTCAGTAGTGTTAGGTACATTCACACTGTTGTATAACTAATGTTCAGCACTCTTTTCATCTTGCAAAACAAAAACACTATACCATTTTTCTTAAGCTCAATACCTACTAGATAAAAGAATAAACATAATTTTTAAACTTAATTCTTCTGCATAATCCTTTTCTCAATTTTGTCTGTAATCTAAAAATCCAATTTACCATCATATTAATATATCCAATAGCTTAAAAAGTTCAGTTTTGCTTTATTTTCATCATATAATAAAAACTAAGATTCAATATCAAAACTACATATTCACCCAAAAATATTATTTATTTTGTACTCCAGTAAGGGCTAGGGGATATAAGTAAGAAATAGATTCATCCCCTTTAAATCATCATTGATATTCACATTTTGTTTAATCTTACCAAAATAATGTGTTATATTTCTAAACATAACAAAAATAATTATCTTAGTATATACATATAAATTAAACATTTTAATTGGTTTTTACGTGTGGAAAGCAAAAGAAGACTAGAAAAAATAGCCCAGTTAACTGGTGGCTACAGATATACGATAGAGAAACCAACCCTAGGTATACTAGCTTATTTTATCTGCAAAATGAGAAATTTTTCTGTAAGAATATCCAACCTAAACTGAAGAATCAGTTGGAGATGAGGCTTCCCTGTTTAGAATTTTGCTTTACAGATATTTTATAAACCAGTTTCAGGTTGGTCACTCTTTAGGCCAATTCTTCCATACAAACGTTCTACATTCATCCCTTCCTCACTAATGTTCAATCACTTGCTCGGTCTAATCCCTATCCACATATCTTTTTCTCAATGCTTTCCCCCCCCTCCAATCTAAAATATAAAGAAGAATTAGTACAAAAGACTCCTAATAGCCTCTCCAACTACTGTATATTCAAAATAAAAAAACAAACTCACTTCAATCAATGGGTAACTTATTTAATCTGCCTGTGTCTCAGTATCCTTATCTGCAAAGTAAGGTTACAAAATGGCTAGTGCTCTATTATTATGTACCTGGGACAGTGCAAGTGGTGAATTATTGAATGAAATAATAACTTCATGAAGTTGTTAAACATTAAATGTGGCAGTGTATGTAAAGTCCTTAGCACATTGCCAGGCATACTGAAAGCTCATGTTAAATGCAAGTTACTGCCATCATCAAAATCTTCAGTGCCTCCCCATTGCCCACAAATTCTAATTTAAACCTTTCTGTCCTGTTTTTAAAAGAAGCCTGTGGTTACTCAGCCTTAATGTGTTTCACCAATTTAATCGCCAAACAAGCACTAAAATCAAGTCAACATTTTCTGGCTTCCACAAAGTCAAGTTTATTTCTCAAGTTTCAGACCCTCATTCATAACTACCCTCTCACTGGAACACCTTCTATCTTCCCTTGCCCAGCCAAAGCAAACCCTTTAGTCACATCCCATCTTCCCAGGAAGCATGCCCCAACCATTCCAGCTTTTACTCATTTCCACTTTTATCTAAAACCCTCACACATGTTATTTTATATTATCTGCTACTGTCCAATCTTTCTGGGTAAACGGAAATTATACTGTAGCTTTTAGTTCCATATTCTCTCTGCCATCCCCAAATGTATGGATATTACATACAGTATAGATTAATCTAAATTGTTAACAGTAGTTATTTCAGGTTAAGATTATGAATGATAATCATCTTTTTTTAAAGTCTTTCTTATGGTTTCCAAATAAATCATTTTATGATTTACAAATTCTATAAAGCTATTCTACAGATCCATAGTGAAATAACTTCTGATCCTAAGACCCTATAATATCTTCTGGGAAATAAACAAATGGACATACATATGTCAGGGGAATTTTAACAAGTATTTATTTTCTGTACAGTTCTTTAAAAAAAAAAAAAAATCAGTGGTTCACATGTGATATCCAGGGCAACCAACCCTATTTCTGAATGTGCTCAGTATTTTTCGAGTAACCAGAAGTTCACTGTTTCTCATTGCTTTTCAGGAACTGGTATTTTCATATTTTTTGCTCAAAACACATAACTTTCTATTACAAAACAAGTGACACTGTCAATGTATTTGAATGTATTTGAAACACCAAATATAATTTTTAAAAATTCTTACCTAATCCTTTTTGTCCTGGATTCTTTGCAAAATTAAAAGTAAACTGGTAAAAATCCTTAAATCGTCCTGGTTCTTTCAATTCTTGTTCCATCTTGGGTATCTGGGCCTTTAGTTTTTCTATGCTGTCACATCTACATTGTAAAATTAAGTTTATAAAAAATAAAACTTTTTCACTATAAATTAAGGACTTAACTTATTCCTATGATAGCTTATCTTTATTTCATAGAACTTTTTAAAAATCAGACAGCTGTCATTCTTTTTACATTATATAAATGAGTATGGGTTTAGTTAGAGGAAGAAAAGGTCTGGAGTGATTAAATGTTAGAAATAATTACTATTTTTAAAAGAAATGGGCCATTACTTTTAATTACATAACTCACTGGACTATTAACACACGTGAAATGTAGAAGTCAGCTGTTGTGAACAGATGAGAATGTATACTAATCAACAACAATCACCAGTTTAAACTGTAGTAGATACTCCTTTGATGGTAACAAATCACATGTCTAGCTTCCAAACTAACTGAAAGCATAATTTCTTACTTCGGTGAGAATGCACTTTTCTTAAAAAGTTACTTTTTGTTACATATAAAGTATAAGTATCTGCTGAGCGCCCTACCATTTCCAACTGAAGTTAGAATCCACAGTAAGCTCTATTTTTTGCAAAGCATTCAACTTCTAAGGAGTTGAAAGGGTCCAAGTACTAGTCTTATTTTCCATATAACAGCCTTAAGGTAGAAATATTCTATTTCTTATAGAATCTACAAAAGCAATCACTCCACTGTTTCTTCTGATCTTTTTGCTTTTATTTTCCTTCTATGTTCTTTATAATGCCTCCCAGATCATTATTTGTAAATTAAAATTTTGATTTGGAAGTTCATCATATTGTACATAAATTCAGTTTCAAAAGAAAAAAAAGTGCGTTTTAATAACATCTGTCTTAGCATAGAAAATTGCAAGTTCAGGATGGGGCTAGCTTTGGCTGTGGAACACAGTGTCTAGGCCAGTTATTAATTTATTACCTCTCAACTTTAAACCCACTCTTCTTTGCCCTAAATTGTGACTATCTGTAGTGGACTATAAATTGTGAGATTTTCTTTTTCTTGCCAGTTGGCTCACTGTTAGGTTCTACCAACAGAGGGCAATAAAAGGCTGAAAGAGGAAAGGAACTTTTCTTATCCCAGTCTGTTTTCTGCAGAGAGCAAGGGTTTCAGTGTGCTGGAAGGTCCCAGCAGTGTTTACCAATGGTGGCAGCTCACATGGCCCCACAGCAAGTGGACTCTAGCCAGTTTTTTTCTTCATCAGAGTGGCAGACAAAGCAGGCATCACAGGCTTTGTGTTCTGCGGCAGCCATGCCCTCTCCTCTGAAATCCCTGTGGGGATCTCTTAAGTGTCTAGGTTCCTTGCTTATTCATTTCCCTCAGTTCCAGGGGTGGTGGCAGTTTCTTACAACTGCAACCTCTGTTATACCTCAAAGCTTTCTTTTGCTCCTTTTACATAACACAATATTTTAAATTTAACCTATTCAAAGTACTGATATATTTTTGTGTCTTGTCTGGACCCTGATTGATTACAGTGCACCTCAGGCTCAAGGTCAGAATGCCTGGGTTCAAATCCTGACTCTAATACTACCTAACTCACCAAAACCGGTTTGGCTCAGTGGATAGAGCGTCAGCCTGCGGACTGAAAGGTCCCAGGTTCGATTTCGGTCAAGGGCATGTACCTGGGTTGCGGGCACATCCCCAGTAGGAGATGTGCAGGAGGCAGCTGACCGATGTTTCTCTCTCATCGATGTTTCTAACTCTCTATCTCTCTCCCTTCCTCTCTGTAAAAAATCAATAAAATATATTTAAAAAAAAAATACTACCTAACTCTAGTTCTCTGTACCTCAGTTTCCTCATCTCTAAAATGGGGATATAAATACTTCTCATACACAGTTATTGTGAAGAGGTAGGTGAAGTACTTACTTAGCACAGTTCCTGAAATAAAAAAATGTTCAACAAATGTTAGCTATTATTATTTAATAGTCATCCGCTAAAAACAAAGGACAGCCTGTTACCTATCCATAGACTGAGTATTTTTGCAGCCTCATTAAATACAGACAACTAGAGGCCATAAATAAAACCTCTACCCATGACTTTTCAATTTATTTATCCCAAGTCATTTAAGCTAATCAGATATCAAGATAAACTGAACAAAAAGTGATTAGTAACTTCTAAAATTTTAAATTCTAAGAGGTGTTCATAAATTCAGAATTTGCAGCCTTACATTATGAAATACCTTAAAACTTGCTCATTTCAATATCATGTTAAATATTAGTTTTATTAGTAATTAAAATAATTTATTTTAATATAAGTACGATGCAAATGGAATAGGCTGTACTAACTGTACAGATAACTTGACAAACCCAGAAAACTGGATAACATGGGAAGGAATTAGCATATTAGCCCATTTCTGTTATAACAATGTTTGTGGGCTGACAAATTTATGTTTACATTAAAAAACTCATACCATAATTCATTTCCATAGTAATTCTCATAGTAACGAACCTTAATTTCCTTTGATAATTATGTACTCACACTAATTCTGTCATGCCGTCCATGAACTCTTGCTTGGAGAACTCGCACTGTGTTGCTGCTCTGAACTTCCACGCAATGATCAACACACTAATGCTGGCTGGATCGAGGGCCAGGTCATCACAGAACTGTTGTATACCATCTATTCCAATTTTATTTTCATCTTGAGGATCTTCACAAATAACAATGCAATATTAAATTAATGCCATACTTTATTATACTATTCCTAAAACTAAAAAGGTAATGCTGTATGCTCCATTAAAATATAATCACATAGATCAAAGACGAAGCAATATTACTAAATATTTCCCTCCTGTAATATTCAAAGCCAATGTGCCCTCAAAATAGCACTCTTAATATGAACAGGAGGTGGTGGGGGGTGGAGGGAGCCTAATATATGGTGACAGAAGATGGTTTGACTTTGGGTAGTGAGCACACAATGCAACATACAGATCATGTATCATAGAAATGTATACTTGAAACCTATACGATCCTAGTAACCAATGTCACCCCAATAAATTTAATAAAAGTGTGAAAAGATGGATTCACACTTCATGCTACATACTAACATAAACTCTAATAGAAAGATGAACAGGAGAATACACAGGGTGGGGCAAAAGTAGGTTTATAGTTGTGAGTACACAAAACACAAAGTTCATTCTTGTGTTATTATTGTTTTTTTCCATACAAACAACTGCATATCTACTTTTGCCCCACCCACTTTTATATACAGATGGACACGTGATTTTTAAGTCTCATTTATTCATATGAAAAATGTCCCATACTCATACACATTCAGAAAATCAGACAGTCTATACAGAGATAAAGGATTTTTACTGAACCTATCCATATTTTAAGTAAGCATTCTAAATTAACGGTATTCTATACAAAAAAATCTTTTTTTGCTTAAGACTAAGTTCACTCTACCACAGAATTACGTCTTGAGAGTATCAGAAAAACCATAAACTCAGCAATTAAATCCTAATCTCAACAATATAAATATCTGTTGTTCAAATTAAAGAAAAATACCAACTATCAATATTTACTTATCAGACAGAAAAACTTTTAAATAATGACAAATACAAGGAGAAAGACGCACTCAGACGCTGCTGCCAAGTGTGCTTTGCTAACATCTCTAACAATAAAAAAAAAAAGTGACTTTTCTGATTTGGGAGAATGAATTATGCATAAAATATCCCATTTTTGAAAAAAATTTTAAACTGTGTATACATATTTCTGCATAAACAAAAAGGACATGGAAGGATCCACACCAGAATTAAATACTGGTTCCCTCAAGAGACTAAATAAGGAAAAAATGGAGAAACTATTAACTTTTTCTTCAATCATCTATTTTGTATTGTTTAAATATTTTAAAAAATATATTACTTATAAGTTCTTTAAAGGTTATTAAAATTATCATGCAGGTTTTCTTAAAATCAGTTCAGCTGAGTTTTATGAAATGGGCAGGGGGAAGGAAGGCCCCCAGCCCCCCTTCTCAAAGGCTGTAGAAGCGAAGTATACCCCCCAGCCCCTCTTCTCTATTTCCTCTCTATCATGGGGGAGGAAATAAAGAGGCTAAGAAAAAATTTTAGTGAAAAGAGAAAAATAATTTATCTTAGATCTCTTTGAAGTAATTCTAAGATCTACAGAGTTCTGTTAAGATATCCACCTATATCATATGTTCTATGTATTATACATATATATAAATACCTATAAATATGTTCTATGTATTATTTCTCACAAGCAGCATGTAACTTTGGAACACCTGGTTCAAAATATTTAAAGTTACAAGTAAACACTCACCTTTGTATCTATTGTATAGTTGTTCTAACTTCTTCCTGTCCAATGATCCTTTTACACTCTCTCGTATATAAAGTTCAGGATTTTGGAAAAAATTGTCTGTTGCAACATCTAACTTCCAGTCATTTTGAGACAGGCAACTTACTGCTGTTTTTTCACTAGATTGTGTGAAGATCATAAACTGACGAACTTTATCCTTCTGCGATGATTTCAACTTGTTCTATTGAAACCAGAAAATAAACTGAAACACTATGTAAAAATCACAGAACACTAAAGTGGTATTTCTATATGCCTGACTAATCACTCAGCAATACTTTTTCCTCATAAATTATTAAAACATTTTAGTTCAAGATTTATTTTTGATCTATTAATCAGAAAGACAAATTTTTAAGAAATCTAAAACACAAAATTTAGTATCATTTTGGAAAAGAAACTAGGACAGAGGCAAAGGAAGTTCAACCATCCTGCATTTCTTCTAAAAGTGGATCCTGAGAGCACGTATAAAGGCTGTAGAAGGGAAGTATAGCTACTCTCAAAACCTTGACCAAGCACAAAGTTCTAAAGCAGCGGTTCTCAACCTGTGGGTCGTGACCCCTTTGGGGGTCGAACGACCCTTTCACAGGGGTCGCCTAAGACCATCGGAAAACACATATATAATTACATATTGTTTTTGTGATGAATCACTATGCTTTAATTATGTTCAATTTGTAACAATGAAATTGGGGGTCACCACAACATGAGGAACTGTATTAAAGGGTCACGGCACTAGGAAGGTTGAGAACCACTGTTCTAAAGGGATATACATATAAGGACTGGTGGGGAAGGTGACATTATCTAGCCAGCCAGAACAGGCAAATGACCCTGGGTAACTGCGATTAACAGGTGTCTGTTGCAGTCCTAAAACCCACTATAAAAAACATAGGATACAATTCTCCTCCCAACCCTACCCCTTGTTTTCTTGCTATTTTATAGCAAATGTGAGAAAGCAACAGACTATGAGTAGCTTCTATTTCTCCTGGTGGTGTTCAGAAACCAAGATAATTACCAATAAAATTTCGTATTTTCATTCAAATCAGAAGCCCTGAAATATGAACTACCATGCATCCTTCCAACAAAGGTAAACAGGATTCTCCCTTTTCCCCCCTGAAAGAACCACCTTTTCCCCCTAGCCTGAGCCTAGCATAGCCTCTCTCCAAAAAGCCTCTCTACTGTAATAATAACCTTTTCTCACTTGCCTTATGTTGAGACTGATTCATTTCTCATCTGGCCTGAACCCTAAGCAAAATGAAACAAGGCAATTAGGCCCTGCACTCTCTCCCACTATTAAGGACCATGTTCTCCCTCCTCTCCCACCCAAGCTAGTCTCCTATGGAATGTCAGCCTCTCCACTATTATTCTTGTCTCCTAACACCATCTCTCAGCAAAATACTTGGATTAGCCCTGGTCAGTGTGGTTAGGTTGGCTGGAGCGTCATCCCATACACCAAAAGGTGTCGAGTTCAATTCCCGGTCAGGGCAGATAGCCTGGGTTGTAGGCTGGATCACCAGTCTGGTGTGTATGGGAGGCAATGGATCAATGTTTGTTTGTTTCTTTCTCTCTCTGCCTCCCCTTCCTCTCTCTCTCTCTCTCTCTCTCTCTCTCTTTAAAAAAAAAAAATCGAAAAAAAATTTTAAGCTTGGGTTTTTCCTGAGCTTCTACAGCAAATGAAGGAGGGAAAGGGATGTATGTATGGCATACATTAATAGACAGAGTCCTATGGTTTAAGCAACCATCTGAGAACCCCAGAATCCTTTATCTGACAGATCACAAACTTCAACCCCCTGATTGTACAGATGAGAGAACAGACCCAGAAGTTTAAAGAATTAGTTCAAAACTTATCCAGGTTATTATTAGTGGAAATGGGACAAGAACAGAAAGGTCTTATAAATCCAAATCATAGTAATCTTATATAAACCGCATTACTTGTTGTACAGATTTATAAGCCTTTTGAAATTTTCAGGAAAAAGACTACCAAAAATATATTTCCACCTATCCCAAAGTAAAAATAACACTATACAAAAATCAAACATGAAAAAGTTTATGCCCTGGAGTCTGACCTGCCAGCCATACTCCTCTCTGTAAATATGCTATTGCTTAAAATTACAGATTAAAATCTCAACCTCTGTTCATTAAATTGGAGAAACGATAACTCCACTAACCTTCTGTTACTTCATTAATAACTACCACCTCTGGACACCAGTAACTCATATGCCATTATACAACACATCTCTTAAATGTCTAAGATTCTTCCGTTTTGAAAAGTGATTCTTCAAGACATAATTCAATTGCAACAAACCCACAATGAAATCAAATCCCAAGGAAGATTCCTGTCTTATTTAATATACTGTTTAATTAAAAAGAAGCCACTTTGATTTCAATTTTTGTTAGTAAAAACTTTTTTTTTAAATCTCTATACCTTTCTCCCTGGGAAGATATAGTATCCTAACATGTTTCAATCCTTCTTTGAAGAACAGGGACGTATTGAGGGTCCCTATGGCCATCAGTGACCACTGTATAATGCATAAGGTGTCGGAGATTAACTGAGAAGAGTAACTACTGGCCACATCCTGGAAATTATTTTTTAATTAAACCTGATACAACTTCTTTTGTATAACTTTCCCCCCATTCTCCTAATTGTTGTTGGAGGCAGCAAAACAATCAGGATTATTTGGGGTTTCATCATAAAGTATTAAATACAATGCACTGTTCCCTGGAACTTGAACCACTTTTGTTGAAGAGAAGGAAAAACACAGCTTAAGTCAATTCTGCAAGCCAAAAAGAGCTGTTCACTCTCCTAATGACTTCCTGTCAGAGAGCAAGATATTAGAAAGTTGGGGGAACAAAGATTAAAAAATCATCTTACCCACGCAAACTAGTAACAACATTATACATTTATTTACATTTATTTAATTCCAGGTCATATTTTATTTGAAAAAAAGTGTATGTATTAAATAATGTCTATATATATATAT